TCCTATAGATACACTTCACATCTACCTGTTAGTCTAGGGATGTCAATTTGCATCTGTTAACGGGGATCCCTGTGGGATTATCTGTTCGGAGCACTGAAGTTGAGGATTTTTTCTCCCGCGGGATGGGAATGGAGGGAAAAGTTCCCCCGATGACACTTTGGGACTGGGATTGGGAAAGTACCCTTTGCCCCGTGGATTCCCCGACTTCGACCATATTATTTAACTTTTATATTTTATATATTATATAATATATAATATATAATTATATAATCTTACTTAAAAATGTTAATGTATTAGAAAATGAAGAGTCATTAGTGGATCATTTTATTTTTATGTTTTATTGTATAATGTATTGTTTTACTATCCAAGTATCGAACCCTAGGATGGGTGGGGTAGCTCAGTTGGCAATTGCTAGTTCGGTTAAGGGGTTGTTGGTCCAGGGTTTAAGTACTGACAGCGGCATTTGTTTGTATTTTCTTTCAAAAATGTAAATAGGTTGTTGATATTTATAAATCAACAACTTTTTTAAAAAAAAGTATCCAACCCTAGAAAAGTGAACCCAATACATAGAATGTACATACCATATCTTCCTTTCTTTTCTCAATCATCTTTATCTCCTCCATTCATCATCACATATGTTCTCATCATCATCTCTTATGTTCTCATCATCATCATACAACCACTCTTCTTTATTCATTGTGCTTATGATAATTACTCTTCAACTTTACTTTACTTCCATTATTAATATGTTTTTCATTTAATTAATAAATTAGTAGTCATGGATTTACCATACTCACACATAATGAACCACTTGTGCTAGACAACTGCGTTACTATGGTAGTAAATTAGCGGGAGCATGGTAGCAACAAGTTATGTTAATTTTAATTATTTTTTATATAAAAATATTAGCAACTACAAGTGATTTTGTTTTTTTAGTTATTGATGCAAGACGTATTTATATTTTTTTAAAAAGAAAGATGCTAAATATATGTGTTTTTTAAAAAAAGAAACAATAACGAAATACTAGTGTCATAGTTTTGATCGAAAAGTATAGAAGTTTTCTTAAGATTCCATCTCTATGGTGATATGTGGGGATGGGGATGGGGGAAAATATTCCCTCGTGGCGGGGATTGAGGACGGAGATGGAGAATAAATTTAGGGGTGGGGCGGGGAGTAGGGAAGCACCATCTGAATATTACCTGCCCCGTTGACATCCCTATGTCAGTCTATGCCTTCAAGAACCTTCATTACGATAAACAGTCTATAACTGTTATCCCATAAATTTGCTTCACATCTATTCATCGATATGCTCCTCCAAAAACATTCATTACAATATATTGTTGGTTACAAACTGATTTATTAGATAGAGTTTAAAATATACTCGTGTACTCGTAGGGATCAATTTATTTGATACATATAAAAAGTATTTATAAGTAATATTAGGCAAAAAAATAGTTGTTGTATAACCCTTTCAATAATGAACATTAGAAAATATTTAGAAGCTAGTTTTTTTGTCTCAAACTCAATCAACATAATCTGCAAGCCGTTAAATGCAAACACGACTTGGATAAAGCCACTAGAAGTTGCACAAAACATCAACACTCAATTATCTTGGTACGTTTTACAAATAGGTCCATGTTGAGTTGCTCAACCTTGACTTAACTAATGGATGAACTGAAAGTTAAGAATAACAAAAACAAAAATAGAAGAGAGAAATTTAAACATGATATCTAGTACATAGTTAGTAACACATTCAGCTAAAAATTGAAAACCGCAACTATATTTAACAGAAATCAGAATACACAAAAGACCTAAACTCAAATGATTCAAAGAAATATGTTGTCTGATGTACATCAATATAACAAAGTTTTAAACTCAAAATGTCCAAAAAATAGTTGTTTCATGTACATCGTTCGAACAACTAAACTCAAAAGATCCAAAAATATGTTATTTCATGTCCATCAATTGAATATTCAACATGGTTTTCATGGCACAACCTGCATCATATATGAGTTTCTCCCATTTTTTCTTTGTTCTTTCTTTACCAAGAAACATTGTAAGAATCAGCAAATCGTACTCCAATTACAACTCAATTAATCCATGATCATCAATATTTTCATCAATTGATATGTCAATGATAATCACTTTCCATCTTTCCATTTGTGTGAAATCGCTTCTTTACTGTTCTTAAATATCTAAGGACAATAAAAATGAAATCCATTTATGGTCTCCACTTGGCTTACAATCAATACAATTTTGCAAGTAGCCTACTGCAGTTGCTCAAGACACATTAGCATGAATAATTCTGCAAGAAAGCGGCTACTGCATTAACAATTGATTCAAAATGAAGCCTCTTGCTAACATCATAGATATTATCTTGGCAATCTATACTTAAACTTTTAGTTTCTTAAATTTTTTTCATCATAAAATGTTTCACCAATGATATGTTAATTCTAAATTATTATATTCTAGTTCATTCCGCACGTCAATATCTGTGCAAAAAATACTAACAAAAGTGGCATTGAAACCACTACTTGTTCACTCAACTTTTAAATATTTGCAGTACAGTGATCAATGACATCAACTTTAGTCCCCAAGAGACACATCATACCTGTCTATTTATATAGTAAGAAATCAAACTAAGAAATATTATATGATTATTCTTACAATGAGCGAAAAGCAAAAAGAGAGTCTCTTTCACACAAATTAGGAAAAGTTGATTAATAGTAAATCATGAAGAGAAAGCTACCTGAGTAGTTGGTCTCTTTGAAGGGTATCTTTCATATTTGTTATGATAGTAAACATACCAGTTTTGCAATTTCTTCTTATGTTCAACTATTGATGCAAGCATGTTTGCATTATAAAAAACATATCAATAATTCAGAAGAATTAATCACATGTTAGACCACAAGAAGTCACAAAACTAGTGCTAGTTCGAGATTCAGAAGAAAACAACTAATCAGTATAATGCTTGATCTCGTTTGTTAATTTGAAATCAGACGGTTGAGATTGAAATCTACATGATGCAGATAGTGCACCAAATTCAAATCTAAACGCTAAGATATGTGACATTAAATCCAATATAAATAGCAGTCTAGTTTAAGAAGCCTTGCCTGAATGTAGTCTTATAAATTTCTACCTCTGTCTATATCTTAAAATCAAGTTTGAAAGTATATTGAAATGACAAAGAAGTAATATTCATTAACCAAGAGAAAATAGATAAGATTTCCCTTTTCTTGTCTAATTGTCCGGATATTTTCACAAATAGTAAATAATAATGAATTAATGATTATTTTAATTTTAATAATTTAAATCTTGTCTTTTCAGTATATCCAAAAAAAAAACTTGCCTTTTCAAAATTATTAAATATTATACATCGAATTTCAATAATCCATTTGACATTAAATATGTGTATTTAGTCTAAAGTTAAAATTAAACACATTTATCTTTTTATATTAAAAAAGTCAAAGTATGAAATATTGTCCTATCATGTTTATACAAATTTAAATATATATAAATTAGATATATTAATTATTAAAAAATTAAATTTATTTATAATAGTGATACTATTCATAATTATTAATAAGAATAGATTTTTAATTTTTTTTACATTTTTTTATTATTAAAACACCACTGTTATTAATCATCGAACACTACTCCAACAACTATTATAGTCACTATTATAACTATTAACAACGAACATTGTCCAATGTTAATCACCATCGATTCTCATTTCAACCACCATTATGACCACAACAACCAACACTAACCGATGCCAACATTATCGATTCTCATTCTAACCACCACTTCGATCACTATTTTAATCATGGTAGATCATTAATCAAACTATCTCTCGCTACCATTGATGATCACTCTAACCATATTATATTTATATCACCACAAATCATCAATATGACGATTATCAATAGCCATTTCTACATTCATCGTTGATTAACACTAATTTTATCAGTATCGTAAAGATCTTGCTAACGAGTTACACATTAATTTTTTTGCTCTTCTTTTAATATTGAAAGGGTCTTTAAGAATTTCAAATAAAAAAAATATTTTATAAAAAAGTTGATTATTTTAATTTTCAACGCATTAAATTCACATATTTTTAAAGTTTTTTTATTAAATAGTATAGCGGCTGAAGTTTACATAATTAAGGTTTTTTCTATAATTTTAAAACTCAATTGCTAATTGTCGAGGAATATCAACTTTAAAGATGTAGTTTCGAATCCATGACATCTTACTCGTTCACATTTAAAATGTGAATTTCAACTATTAAACTATTTAAAAATAAACTCAAAACATAAATTAATTTTTGTTTTTTAATTAAATAATTTAATTTATTCAATAAATTGACATAATTATAATTGAAAAAAATAATATTAATATGTAGTCATTATTTATTATTTATTTATGACAATGACCAAATACATTACCTCAACTCACACTAAAGCTACCAACTAAGCTATAATCTAGTACTATTATTTATGAGTCTTAAAAGGGTTAGAAAAAACTGTCCAATGAAGACAAAGCAAACCCTCCTAAACTATAGTAATATTTGCTTTGGATACTAACTCGTCATCAAATGTTTCACTTCTACTCAAACTCCTTTTCTATTTGTTCACTGTTTTCCCTATTTCCTTTCTTCACCTAACCTTTCTCTCTTTTTTTTCTCCCTCTTTACCAATTACCACCTTTTTGCGGCAATTTTGGGTTTTCTTTCTTGGAAATTTTTGTCATCAATATCATAGGTTACAAAGTTTCAGTTTTTTTTTCCTTTTTCTTATAAAAATTGAAACTTTTTATTATTATATGAGATTGTGTCTCAAATAAGGAACTGGGTCATTGAGATGTATCATTTAATCACATTTTTCATCTTCTGTAATTAAAAAAAAGAAGATTTTTCCCCTTAATTCTTGGTGGGGTTTGAACAATTGCATGTATTTGTTGTTAGGAGTTAGTTTAAGGTTTGAGAGTTTAACAAATTTTCAATGGGTTTAGATGAGAGAAAAGACAGAGTTGGGGTATTGGATTCGGTTCATGAAGTGGTTGCACTTGATGGGAGCAACAATTTGGTTGTGGGGGATAGAGATTGTGTTAATGGAGCATTTGGAACTTCAAGAGAAGTGGGTATGAATTCAGGATCCAGTAAGGAGGAGGCTGAGGAAGTTAAGGTTCATGAAAAGTGTGATGAAGAAAATAATCGTGCCGAATTGCCAGTGGTTGATCAAGAAACTAGTTATAATTTAAGCAATTTGGTTAATCAGGAAGTGGTTGAGACAGTGGTTGTTGTAGTAGAGTCTGTTCATGTTCAGCCTGTTCAGACTGAGTATGTTAATGGAGAGGATAGGAAATTGGAAGCAAAAGCTGATGAATCAGGGCTTAGTTTGGTTTCCATGAAAACCCCGAAAGGGGTGTCTGAAATCGATAAAGATTCGTGCGTGATTGATATGAAGTGCAGTAGCCATAAAGGGTTTTCTGAGAATTCACAATGTGAGAGGATTTGTAGGATTTGTCATCTGGCTTTTGGGCCGGCATCAGATGCAGCTATTGTTGGAAATGCGAGTGCTACAAGCGGAGATTTTGTTCAACTTGGTTGCGCGTGTAAAGATGAACTTGGCATTGCACATGTTTATTGTGCTGAAGTGTGGTTCAAGCTCAAGGGAAACAGGTATATATTTCTGGCCAAATTTCAGTTTGATTTCAATTTATAGATCAATTATGAAAGTTTTGCATCTAGCAAATTATTGCATTTAATTGTCATGTTCATGTTTGTTGATATTATTCGAAACCATGCTCTTGTGGTTGTCTTGGCAAAAATTCTTTTGGATTATATGGTTGTCAATATCATCAAATAGATTATTCATTAGCTACCTTTCGTTTTTTTTAACAACGGATTATGCGAAATATGTGGTGAGACTGCGAAAAATGTTTCGGGTGTTACTAATAACGGAGTTATGGAAGAGTGGAATGATAGAAGATTCCTGGACAGCGGCAGTAACTCATCGCGCAGGTTTGTTGGATGCTGGCGAGCACAGCCGTTTTGTAATTTCTTGATGGCGTGCCTGGTAATAGCTTTCATTATGCCATGGTTTTTTCATGTAAACATGTTCTAGCTCGGGAATCAAACAATTATAGTTCTTCCTTCTTCGATTATTTATACCTAGTAATAAATATAGCAAGTGAATGAGTGGTGACACATCATCAAATTTTAGTGTCTTCCCGGAAGATGTGGAGTTTGCTGCTTGAATATAGAGTTACCGGCTTGACAAGTGATTACCAAATTGTTTCCTTCCATTATTTGGAGTATGTATATGTTGGTCTGAAGTAAATATTGATAAATCTGTTTTCTATTTTTTTGAAAAACCAAACAAAATAATATATTTGAAATTTGGTGCAGATAGATCTTACGGTGTAAGTATTAAGCAGGTATAATTGTTTGTTCATCATTTACTGACATGCTACAATTCATAGAGAACTCTTGTGTGGTGTTCATCAGAAGTGTCTGTCTATATTTCCTTCTTTCTTATGTTGGCATTTGCCATATTTTCGTATTTACAACGCAAAGAGTTTATATGTGTGTATTCGGCTCGACCTCTAAATATAGTTTAATTTGAATTATTCTCAAGTTTAAGAAAAGTTGATTCACCAAGCATTCGTTTGGTTTAGCGGGGTTGACTTTTACAGAACTGCGATGAATTTTCACGTTATGACAGAAGCTTAGTCCCTGTTTGCTTGTGCATTTCCAAACAAAAAAAACGCACGTTGAAATAGTCTTGATATGTAGCACCGACACCTCTAAAAAAGACGTGTATGTCATTATCGGGCACCAATACTTGATTACGTTCAATTTATTATTTTTTCTAATTATTAACGGTTCTGTCAACAACATGCTATAAGTTATATTTGATATTGTGAAATTGAAGAAAGTAAAAAAAGTTTTAAAAAAAACTTGAAGAGAATTATAGTTACTTATAGTTTGTTTCAAAGTTATTTTATATTACAACCTGATTCAAAGACCATTGAGAAGTAAAGGGACAAAGGAAAGTTCAGAATACAGTGTCATTTGCTTAGTCACAACTCACAAATTCACAAGCCTATTTTCACATCTTCATTTCCTTTTTCTTGGAGGAATAAGGTCTTGATTTTGATCAATGATGCAGTGATATCTGTAATGTTATTTCCCTCTTTAGGTTTATCTGCGCAACAACTCAAGCTTAAAGCAAAAATAGATGATACATGAGACACAATGTCATGAATTGTTTTCTCATGTTGCTGGACTAAATTGGAATCCACAACTTCCATTTCATCTGTTGGTCTTTTTCTTGTGAAGATCTCCATAAGCATAATTCCAAAACTGTATACATCTCCTTTAACAGAAACAACACCCTTAGAACCATACTCTGCAACTCAAAATTAGTTTACTAGTTATCAAATCAAATATTCTCAAACATAATATAGAAATCGAAAATGAAAAGATGTAAAAGAGAAATAAATGACCTGGTGCAACATAGCCAAGAGTAGCTAAAGTCTCTGTATGAATTTTGGATTGTCCATCATCCAAAAGTTTGGCAATACTGAAATCGGTAACATGTGCAACCATGTGTCTGTCGAGTAAAACATTATTAGGTTTCAGATCACAATGAACCACTGGTATTGAAGAACCGTGATGAAGATGCTATAATGCAGATGCAACATCTATCATTATGTTCAACCTTTGCAAGAAATCTAAACAATAGTTATATGAATACAACCATTTTTCAACACTTCCATTTGACATAAACTTCATCACCAAGGATTTGAAATTAGCATTTGAACAACTACTGATAATCTCAACTAGATTCAAGCTCTTTGACGTTGCTTCAAAGTTCAAATCAATAACTTTAACAGCAACTATCTCCCCACTAGAAAGCATCCCTTGATACACAGATCCAAAACTTCCCTTTCCAACTAAGTTACTCTCACTGAATCCATTAGTTGCTTGCACAAGTTCATAATAGGAAAACCTTCTTTGAGCACCTATAGTTGATAAATCCTTTTCAAGCCGATTTTCAACTTTTTTCCTTTTATGTAGTACAAGTATAATGCATCCAGCAACTAAAACTGCTGACACAATTATAGGCAACATGCATTTGATTAATAACATCTCCGCGATCGACCTTCTCCTAACATGTTTATCACATGAAGGTACTCGTAGGAGAGGATTACCGCAAAGCGCTTCATTATGTATGAAAGATTGAGCTGTGAAATTTTTGAACGGTCCGCCGTCGAATCTCTCCTTGTAACATATTGTATGAAAAGTTGATACTTTTAAGAAGGGAAAGTGACTCTAACGATTTTGGAATCACACCAGTAAGAAGATTTCGGGACAAGTCCAAGAATTTCAAGCTTCCCATTTCACCAAGTGATGTGGGAATCGTCCCATACAACTTGTTATTTGTTAAGGAGAGAGTCTGCAAAGTTTTTACTAAACCTATGTTTTCAGGAATGTTGCTTGAAATTTGATTTCCGAACAAATCTAATAGTATAATTGCTCTCAGTTTATCGATTTCCAGTGGAAGATTTCCACTGAAAGCGTTGGAGGATAAGCTTACCACTATGAGATCTGCGAGACTCCAAAAAAAAGGAAGGTATCTTCGAGATCAAACTATTAGATGCTATGTCAATGTATCTAAGAGAAGTCATATTTCCCAAGCATGTTGGCAACACTCCAGAAAGCTTATTGTTTGATAGATACAAGGTACTCAAACTCCAAAGTTCTTACAACAATGACATAAAGCCACCTCACAATGCCATAAAGACAGTTACAAAAATGTTCTTACAACAATGACATAAAGCCACCTCACAATGCCAAAAGCCATCTCACAGTGTCAAAATTTGTGAGGGGATAAACCACCTTACTACAAACGTCATCGCAACTTTTTTTGCTGGATGATTAATCCCTTGCAAAGTTGTTGGAGGATTAACCCTTGAAATTTATTACAGAGGAACATACTAGTTAAGTAGGTAACATAGTCACGCATAGTCAAAATTAGTGGCATAGAAGTGCGAATTTTCGCTAGGGGCTAAACCCCAGACAACGTTGCATGATAATTTAAATTTTATGGTGGTAACCCCTCACAAATTTTAAAATATGATATAAAAAATTAATATAATTATATTATAATAAAAACTTAAATTATTTTAAATTCTTATAATAATACAATTATAATAAAATAAAGATTATGATAAATAATTTCGATTTTAAAATTTATAAATATAAATCTTTAATTATAAAATTTTAAAAAATAAATATTTCACAATTAAAATAAATAGTACAAATTTATATTAAATATATAAAATTCAAAACATCGTATGCTCAGTCATCTGAGTCACCCTCTTAGTTCCCGTCTTGTTCTCCTTGCTCACCAAATTCTCTATCTCCGCTTTCTTCGTCAAACCCTCCATATCAACCACCTGAAGCTTGGTTCATTTATGAATACATAAATTATTTAATTTTAGTATGTCCTCATTTGTAATTCGCAATGCTTCCTCCAACTCCAATTATTTTCTTCTCATTTCATCCTCTAACTCTAATTATTTTCTCCTCATATCACCCTCTAACTCTAATTGTTGAATGTTGTTGTTGTTGTTTAGATTGAGATTGAATGTTATATGTTGTTGTTTTTGTTGAGATAAATATGTAATAGGTTTATTGTTGATGTTTTTGTTGTTTTGTTAAGATTGAGATTGTTGTTTTTTGTTGTTGTTATTGTAGTTGTTGTTTAGTTGTTGTGACTTAGCAAAGTTTTGAATGTCATATGTTATCTTGATTGAGAGTGAGAGTGAGATTGAGATTTTTGTGTTTTTGTATTGTTGAGAATGTTATATGTTGTTGTTGTTGTCGTTTTGTTATTGTGACTTAGAAATGTTTTGTTTTTATAATGAGACTTAGCAAAGTTTTAAATATTATATGTTGTTGTGATTGAGAGTGAGAATGAGCTTGAGATTGCTTTTGTGATTTTGTGTTGTTGAAAATATTATACGTTGTTGTTTCTTGTTGTGACTTAACAATGTTTTATTTTTATAATGTGACTTAGTAAAGTTTTGAATGTTATACGTTGTTATTGGTGTTTTTGAGAATGTTATATATCTCTTTGTTGTTTTGTTGTTGTTCTCTAGATAATGCAAAATAAATTTCCCTAATTGATTCCACGTGCAACTTTCATTTCGTTCATTCCAATATGTCTACAGCACAATAAAATGATAGAAAATACAATTGAGCTTATTATATCGTATGTGAATTACGTGTTTCACCAATCCCTCACTTTTAACATATAAACTTTTAAATTGATTTAGAAAATAATTATCAGAAAATTAAGTTATATTTGAAGAACAATTTTCACTAATCAATATTTTTCGAGCTTTCTGAGACTCATTATTCATCTCTTGCTCTTTAGCAGTTAAAATTTGGTTCAATACTTCTCGTTCTTCAATTAACACTCTTTCTCTACTAATTTATTTCACAAATCATCAAATTTGTTGAGAAATTCTTATTCATCATCATCATTATTTAACACCCAACCCTAATCTATGTAACTATATGAGAAGACTCAATTACGACAAACAAACCAAAACACTAAATTGACAAACGTTGAAAGTAAAGTGGCATAGTGTAATACACATATGGAAGCTAAAATACTTTGTATTGATTGTATAGAAGTCATCTCAGTTAACTACTTACAAGCAAATAGCAACAATATATATACAAGACTTATGAGGCTTAACTAAATTCAGTTAGAGACAAACCTCTAACTAAATGTTAACTCCAAAACTAACTGCTAACTGATACACACAGTTAGATAACAGAATAACAATAGCTACAGTAGCACCACCATTAATTGGCTAGCTATTTTATCTCTAACATCCCCCCTCAAACTAAAGGGAAGTTTTCTTCACACTGCACTTTGAGTTTGGAATGTAGATCCTAGAACATTGTAGTACCAAGGGGTTTAGTGAAGGTGTCAGCAATCTAGGCTGCTACGAGGACATGTTGAATTTGGAGCTTCTTTGCAACCACTTTTTCCCTTACGAAGTGAATATCCAATTCAATATGCTTCATTCGCGCATGTAAAATCGGATTGTGTGACAAAAGCAATGCGCTTAAGTTATCACAAAGCATCGTTGGTGTATAAAACAAAACTCCAAGTTCATCAAGGAGCGATTCTAGTCAAAGAAGTTCAGAGGTAGAGTGAGCAAGAGCACGATACTCGGCCTCAGTGCTGGAAGGAGCCACTAAAGATTGTTTCTTATAACTCCATAAAATTAAGTTTAGTCCCATGAAGATTCGTGTACTAGATGTGGACTTGAGGTCACCTGGGTTGCTTGCCCAATCAGAATCATTATAGACCCTGAGAGACAGTTCTTTAGCAGAAAGAGAATGAGATAATAACAGGCCATGATTTAAAGTATCACTTAAGTACCTGAGAATCCTTCTGACTACAGACTAATGAGTTTCCAAGGGAGTAGCTATGAACTGACAAGCTTTGTTAACACTGAATGCTATGTCTGGTCAGGTTAAGGTAATGTAAGTATAAGAGTGCGCCTAAGAGGGGGGTGAATTAGGTACTTTTAAAGTTTTACCGTTTTAGTGATGATGGATATTATTTTTCTTGTTTAGTGCATGAGTTTACAAATGTATTTCTTTCTTTTCTGGTTTATGACTAGTGATGAAAGCGGTAAATGCGGAAAAGTAAAGAACACAAAGATGTATCCTGAGAGACAGTTCTTTAGCAGAAAGAGAATGAGATAATAACAGGCCATGATTTAAAGTATCACTTAAGTACCTGAGAATCCTTCTGACTACAGACTAATGAGTTTCCAAGGGAGTAGCTATGAACTGACAAGCTTTGTTAACACTGAATGCTATGTCTGGTCAGGTTAAGGTAATGTAAGTATAAGAGTGCGCCTAAGAGGGGGGTGAATTAGGTACTTTTAAAGTTTTACCGTTTTAGTGATGATGGATATTATTTTTCTTGTTTAGTGCATGAGTTTACAAATGTATTTCTTTCTTTTCTGGTTTATGACTAGTGATGAAAGCGGTAAATGCGGAAAAGTAAAGAACACAAAGATGTATCCTGGTTCCCCTCACAGTTCGAGAATACTCCAGTCCTCTTTCAACATGAAAGAGATTTCCTTATTGTTAGATCTCTAGACAAGACACTCTAGTCCTTCTATACAAGACTCTAACCAATAAAACCATCAAGAACAATCCTCTTGGATTTTCACTATGTCAACAATGAGAATAATCCTCTCAAAGTGACTTTACTTGTATCTAACAATCCTGGAAAAACAAGATTTATAAAACCACTTAAACTTATTTTCAACAATCCTGAAAAATAAGCAAGTATATAGCAATATTTGATTTGACTGAGTTTGTAGTGTGATAATCACTATGAGTGATTTTATATTAATTGATCTTCTCTTCCAATGACAATAGTATACAATGACTCAAGATATATAATTCTCAAAGTTTTCTGGTTAACAATATGTGAAAGTGTGCAGAAAACTTGTGTATGAAAATGTATAACAGCTTGAGTTTGATTTTTGAAAATTCAGAAAATATAATTGGAAGAGCTGTTTAAAATGATTTTGAAAATGAGTATTTATATGTTCATAACACCCTTTTGAAACATCATAAATTTCTGTAAATGAACCATGAACAATTGCCAAGATTGAGTGAAAAGTTTCCATGAAATGGTGTTATGAACAGGCATGTGCAAAGCTGCTGTTTTTCAAAATCGTGCAGCATGCAATCGATTGCACCCTTTTAAAACATCATAAAGTTCTGTAAATGAACCATGAACAATTGCCAAGATTGAGTGAAAAGTTTCCATGAAATGGTGTTATAAACAGGCATGTGCAAAGCTGCTGTTTTTCAAAATCGTGCAGCATGCAATCGATTGCACCCTTTGTGTAAATCGATTGCACGAGGTTTCAACAGCTAGAATTTCAAAAGTTTTGAGTGTGCAATCGATTGCACAAGAGTGTAAATCGATTGCATGTGAAGTCAGTAGCAAAAATTGATTGAGTGCAATCGATTGCACTGAGAAACAGTAGCAAAAATTGATTAAGTGCAATCGATTGCATAAACATGCAAATCATTGC